GCAGCCCTCAACGACGCCCGAGGCTGTAATTTTGAGCACACGTGTCGCCGGCGCGTGCACGCGGCCGCCCGTCCCCGGTTGCTCATCGCCCGCCCGCTCCCCAGCTCCTTCCCCGCGCCGCCGCAAAAACGGCCTCGCCTTTCGCAGCCGCCCCGCCCTCAGAATCGCACGAATTTGGAACTGACCGCATGTCACACAGCTCCCAAGATACTCTTGGAATATTTATAATACCTTCGATCTGCTGAAAAGTACATTTTAAACCATGCATCGTTTTTATTCTGAAATCAGTATGATGAAAATTGCTTGTGGGTAATATGTCATTGGAACAACTTGACGGCATCTACTACAGAGGAATAAGGCCATGTGTTCACGATTTACGGTGGTTAGAGCGAGGTATTACATAGTAGGTTGAAAGTCCATGATACATTCAAAAATATTTATTTGCGAGACAAGTGAGTGTTGTGAGACCTACGTAAATAAAATAGGGACTCTTTATGATGAGTTTTATTATCTGAATGAATTTAATAAATAATAATAATAAAAATAATATAATAATAATAATAATAATAATAATAATACGGGAAACGCCGTTTTTACTCAGTGCCCATGCTGTAAAAACTCTTACCTCGCCCTTGTCACTCGATTAGAATGAAGTGTGCTACGCGCGTGGTATCAAGTTGCGTGTTACCGTCTCGACCATCTATTTAAAAAGCGCGCAACGTTTTGAACTGATTTAGGCACATAATTTTGTAGAATTCTTCCATTTGAAACGGTTAACGTCTTTCAAATTGCGAATATTTATTCTTCGAGATGCTAGCTACCTAAGGAAGAGTAAGTAATTTTGAACAGTAAGTTTTCTCACAATTTTAAAATTTTAGATCGGTCATTTTAAGAGGCCGTGTTAAAAAGACGGATTTTCAGGTCTTATTACTCGAAAACGAGACGGTGAAATCGATTCAAATTCTCCCACATAGAACCACTCATCTTTCGATTAATACTATAAAAAAGGCATGTCAAAGATTACATGTACCTCGCTCTAACCAGCTTAAAGCTCAAATGGACGTTGAATTCTCGGAATGTCTTTCGTTTTCTTGCAAGTGGTCGGAATGAAGCGAGATAAGAGAGCACGCCCCTTTCGTGCGCTACCTGTGATCCCATTTTTTTCCTAGACACGTGTGTCTTACCGTATTGGCTGAAAGATTTTTTACGTTTGAACGTGACCGAGAGTATTTGAGATTTTTCAGTAAGTTTGACATCATGATTAAGCAACAGGCTAGCCTTTCAAATTATTCTTGCTGGTAGACATGCTTTCTAGAGAAGAACACAATTGTGGGTCGCAGTTCTGACACGAAAAATGGACGTGGATATCAATTATGCTTTTACTCTTTCTGCTTTTCAAATTCAATTGATGTGAATGTTTGAATCTGACCTATTTCTGTCAATACATCAGCGACCCATGCCAGATCCATCCCTTAGACGAACGACGAGGCGACAAACTTGTAAAGTTTCTAAGCAACCATATAGTTTTCAAATCCTATTGTGAGTTATCAAAAGAAACAAGAAGCAGCAATAATAACTTGTTTCTTTAAATCTTGCATTTAATGCCATTAAATACACATTTTTTGTAAGTATTAAATCTATTTTAATCAAGACATTCATAATTGAAAACTTTGAACTTATAATCTTATACAGATAAGTAGAGTAGAACATTGCCTTTTCAGACCAAACCCAATCAAAACTGGGTATTGATGAACACTAGAAAAACAAAGGAGGATAACAGGTCACACTCACAAATACCAACCAGGAGAGTTACAGTGACTGTTACGCGGAAGTATCTAAGCAGCACTTTTCGTGTGTTCTCCAGGTTAGCTAACCTGAGCGTCATTCTGCAATCTACCGAAAATTTCCCCAAGAGCTTCTTGTAACTGGCAAACGACGGTTGGACAATTTCTGCTTTAGACAAACGGGAAGTGGGGGAGAGTACGTAATACGTTGCTAGTTACATAATATACATTTTTTGTCTTACATTGTTGACACGATACATTGTTATCGGTTACGAAAACACGTTACAATCCAAGCTCCGTACTCGCCCCGAAAACCTAATGCACCATTGTTTTGAGACAGTTGCATGACTTCTTCGGTTTTATTGTTTTGATCTTAAAAAAGCGACAAGGATTACTAATTTCCGGATCTCACGTACGATGTAACGCATTCCTCTAAATGACACATAAATGAGAAAGTGAAATTACTTTCAAGGCGCCCAAAATGTGAATAATTTATGACAAACGCGACGGGAGAGCACAGACAGAGACA